CCGTGGTGTTTGTTAGTTTGTAGTCCGTTTGTTCATTGGTTCATCTTGATTAGTCTCTCCAGGTGTGTCTTATTTTGTTATCCCCCGTGTATATATAGCCCTAGTGTTTCTTTAGTTCCTTGTGAGTTGTTGAATGTAATAATTGTCTGTTTGCCTGTCATGCTGTTCTTTGTTCCCTGTGGTTTTTGGCTTATTGTTTGTTCTAGTTTTTTTCCAGTCAGAACTGATGATTGTTCGTGTTCCTTTAAGTTGTGTATATATCGGTTCGCACAGCGCTTACGTGGTCTCTTAGTGCACTATACGATGACTCTAAAGGTATATCTTCACTAAAGAAGGTATACCATTTCTAGGCGTGTTCCCCGAACTATATCTTAGGAGGTTGCCGGGTTCAGACTACACAATATTTTTGTCGGTCAGGATAGTAGTCACTGTGTCAGATTACACGATTTTGACTCCTAAAATCTTGTCGTGTAGTGGACAAGAAACATGTCAGACTACACGTTTCTTCCCGACCATTCATCGCGTGCCGTCTTTAACGACGCGCCTGATGTCATCAAGAAGGCGGAACTAGCGACTGACTTCCGAAAACAAGAGTGTAAACATTGCTGAAGCGCTTCCGCTATAGTTCGCCAGCATTTTTCTTTCTTTGTTCTGTCGTGGTAGTCCCTCGACACATCATACAGGCAGGAGTACTGTTGCCACAGCTCCAGGAATCTTTCCTCCATCTCATAATTATTTCGTTTTGCCATGTTTGAAACCTGTGTATGAAAGAGCTTCTGTGCTGCTATTGGTCAATGTCACCAATGTGACAGAACTCGTCGTGGACGACGGAAAAAAAATTAAACATGCTAGTCTTTCTGTCCTGATGTCATGAAGCATCGCAGACGCGGAATCGGTTGTAGTCCACTATGACACACTACACAGCTGAAAAGATGGAATCTTGCGTCCTGACGCCCATTGTCATTTACGAATCCCCACGACACCCTACGTCAAACAAATCGTGGCAAAATCGGGCTAAAATCGTGTAGTCTGAACCGGGCACATTCTTACGTGCGACGTATACCAGGTGCTGTCCATGGCGGTGGTGCTGAATTGGTTGATATGGATGCCTCGAGAATCGATTATTCATTCTATGCAAGGGCTGCTTCAGTGCGTTATGTGAGAAAGCGGTGTTCTTTATAAAATAAGTGTTGACTCTAAATAAATAAAGACACGGAATTCTTTCCTGTTAGAACGCAAAGAACTTGCGTGAAACTTTTACTTTCGCTTTGCAACATAAATCACATCAGGGAAGAAAACCAAGAAAGAAAAATATATTAGCACAACTATTCGCTGTATCGCTGCTATAGTTTGACCAAACTCTCCACCACAATCATTCCCTTTAAATAGACTCCTAATGGTTTGCCAGCTGATGTACTTTGTATAATATAATAAAAAAAGCTAATAACCATCAGTCTAATGACAGTTTTAGTCTTACAGAAGGTATACTTTAAGAACGTTTCGGGAAGCACATATTAACGATAAGGAACAGCTTAAGGTATAACTTTAGAATGACGTAGCGTTAAGAAGGTTTCAGGAAACGCAGCCCTTGTCATAAAGCATATACTGTCCTCTATTATGTACAAAAAGAGATTATTTTATTACGCTAATTTGAGTGAAAAAATAATTTGTAAATAGGAAGTTGATATTCAAATGATTTGAGAACTCTTACCTCATGTTTCACGATGGTCCAGCCTGAATGTACGAAACAACCTGCTATAATATCCACAACATTGACATTAAGAGCGCGCAATTTAATTGTCAATCAGATGCGCGTAAAAGTGGTCTTAATTCGTTACTAGGAGTATAGGTCGGTATAAATAGTTGAGATTTCAGTCATCATAAAGTGATGTTTATTAACAATGGACAAAATATATTTAGCCTATGAATTCATCAAAATGAAGAAATATGTTTTTTTTTTTAAAGTTAATTTACTTAATTTTGTAACATGTTATGTACAAATAAGCAAACTATTGTAAACAACCTATAATTTTGAAGCGTTACCGATTAAAATAAAAATAGCCTTCAAAAATATTTTATGCACTTTTTTTTCACTTTGCATCGAGAAGATGATTCAAAATGATTAAATCTCCTCTCTCGTTTTTATTTTTGCGTTGTATTTGAAGTACAATTTTACCTTCACTCAAGTATGTTTTTGGCCAGACACTTGTAGGCTACTTTTAACCGAGTAAAATATTTACACAGCTTTTCTTTTTTTATTTTATTTTTTTTAAAGATTTTATTAATTACATCTGATATTTTAGCTTTATTATTTGAAGTGCCTCTGTTTGCAGATCAACGAGAAGCCCCGGAATGGTGAGCTTACCTGTATTTATCAGCGAGGGCTGCAGACAGAGCCGCAAGGAACTTGTCCACGGCCACGTGCACTTCTGCGGTGAAGTCATCTGGGAAATTAACTGCAAGAGTCACGAGGATGTTATGGAACAGAATCTGGAAAAATAACCCAAGAATTAGTAAATGAACAGTTAATACACTATGAATTAATAATTCACATGTAGGCCTAAGTGAAAGGATTGAAACACTGCAACAGCACATTAGCAAGTATCTTACCTTGAAGTTTCCAGGGTCTACGCGGAGTTTTGTGGCATGGAGATCACTCAAGGAGCTCAGTCCACCAATAAGATCATCCAATTTGCCCACAGCATCAGTGATGGCTCCCATCACAGTTTTGCCGTGTTTCTTCACATGGGGGGAGCTGAGAGAATGATCAGGCCAATGAGCAAAAGTCTACTGTAGGCTAAAAGATGCTTTGGGGTCATTTGGGGACACCAAATGGAACCTAAAGGGTGGAGCAACTCAAAAAGGACAGCACATCCACGGTTATCAAAGTTTATAAAATTAAGAACATTATGAAATGGGAGGGGCGGGTCTGAATGTCTAGATAAAGCAAAAAGAGCTGGCACTCGTTAGATGCGTTCGTTTTGGTTAATTTAACGTTAGATATAAAACGAGCTTTTCATCTACAGGGTTGCCACCGATTATGTTGTCCAGTTTTTGTCGGGGTAAGCATCCACATTCGTGATTTTGATGATTGAATCCATACTTATTTTGTGATGTTTGAAATATATTCCTGACAAATCTAACTTTGCAGATTCTAATCAAAATGTAGCATTAGCTCGGATCGGGTCCAAATATGAACAACCACACAGCCAATCAGTCTCAGCGCCTGATGTGGGGCGGAGAGTGCAGTATAAATAAAAACTCCGCGAGCATCTATCAATGTTCAGCATTGAGATAATCACAATGGTGGAGTGGTCAGATTCTGAGCGCAGTACTATTGCGAGTGTCTGGGGCAAAATCAACGTCGATGAAATCGGACCCCAGGCTCTGGCAAGGTAATTTGATAGTGTGTAAAAGGAGATATACATACCAGGTTGATCATTCAGTGATGTATTTTAAATAGACTTTGGATTTATGTATTTTCATTGTTTCATATGGCAGGGTGCTGATTGTTTATCCCTGGACTCAGAGGTATTTCGGTGCCTTTGGAAACCTATCCAGTGCAGCTGCAATCCTGGGCAATCCCAAGGTGTCAGAGCATGGCAGAACAGTGCTAAATGCGTTGGACAAAGCCGTGAAGAACTTGGGTAACATCAAAGGCACTTACTCTGAACTCAGCCAGCTGCACTGCGACAAACTCAACGTCGATCCAGATAACTTCAGGGTACATGCTACTTATTTTCTAAGTTTGAGCTTGTCAATAAGGATATCACAACACCTCCGTTATACAGTTATGACTTGCCTAACAAATGCAAATTTTCTTGACTCACACAGCTGTTGGCAGATTGTCTCACCATCGTCGTTGCGAGCGCATTTGGATCCGCGCTCAACCCTGCTGTTCAGGCCACCTGGCAGAAATTCCTGTCCGTAGTTGTGGCGGCTCTCTCCAGCCGTTACTTCTGAAGTCCCGCTCGAGATCTCTGCCTCAATTCAATCATGATTCAATGCATTCAAGAGTTCAAAAGGTATATAAATAAAGCATTCAATCAAGGGTGGATTTTGAGTCTTTTCATTTGTCAAGTGAATGAGCTAGACTACTTTAGCATATAGCAAAAATTATATTAGGCATTTCTCATTGGCTAATGAGCATCACCATTTCTGTTGCCATCATGTTCAGCATTAGCAGTGGTTATGGAGTGATATTTTATTACACTCAAAATTAGCCTATTAAAACACTCAAAAGATCTTATTTGATCTCAATTTCATAAGCAGACTTAGGGGAACCTATAGTAATCTATCTAAATATATAATCATAATATGATTAGCTTCTATTAATATCGAAGGTTATATAATTCTGTTTGACACATTTTGTATTGGGGGTCCCTGCTCCACGTCTCTATCTCTATAGAATATTGCATCTACAGGTCCTTTGATTGCAAGTTTCTTCAACTATAGTTGTGGCCCTGTGGGATTATTTTATAATAATAATATTTATTTATTTATTAAAAATTATATAACTGGGTAGTGTCATGCGGGTGGTTGTATGGAAGATGAAGATGAAGGCAAACAGGTAATATTTAATAAGTCCACACAATAATCCACAAGAACTGAGTAGCATACAACACACCCAAGAACTGATGACACCGGACAACTAGACTGAAACAGAACCAAACTTAAATACACATGATAATGAGACACACATACCTGAACATAATGACTAAATCAAATGAACAACCATGACAATTTACTATGGAAAGATGGTGCAAACTGAAATCAAAGTCCATGTGATGTGTGACAATACGCCCCCCTCCCAGAAGGCGTGTCCTCGTGCTGTGATGATGAGGAGGATGAGGGAGAAGGGATGGTGCAAACAGGCAACTGGGAGGAGGATGACAAACAAAATCCAGGGAGGGGGAGGGGGAGGAGATGACCAAGTTAGGAACCTTGAGCAGTAGGGGGCGAATGGATCACTGGAGGGAGGAGCCAAGGCATGATGGGAACACACGCCACCATGGGGACGACCGGAGGCGATGACGGAGATGGAGGTGGAGCCGACTGTGCAGACAGAGAGCTGAGGAGGTGGAGTGACGCCAAGGATCCAGGCAGTTGTTACGGAGCCGTAGCGATGATCGGCCAAGATATACGTGGGGATGTGGAGGCCAGAGGGCGAGCTGGTGCGACCATTGAAGGAGGCGGAGCCTGAGGGAGGGTGGAGCAGGCCGTAGCCAAAGGGGTGGAGGGCCAAAGAGCAGCAGACGGCCTGCAAGTCCGCAGCGGAGGCATGGTGATTTCCGACCCAGGTGGAGTCGACTAACCGAGGGAGCCTGGCGAGGCTGAATGGCCGATGGTGCACGCCGGAATCGAGGGTGGGAGGAGTGCAGGCGCAGGTGTCTGGATGCTGGGACGAGGTGGAGCGGAGCCATCCGAGGCCTAAAGCAGAACCTCAGGCTCCTCAGGTCCAGGAGACGAAGACTCCCAGCAGGCCTGAGATGGAACCTCTGGGATAATGGGGGACGGAGATGACTGGACAGCAGAAGTGGCTGAGGCCTGAGGAGACTGAAGAAATGCACAAAATCCAAACAAAAATAAAAAGCTCCTTGCTCAAGGCACAGGAGGTGTACGGCAGGGAGGTCCATGATGTCAGAAAAAACAAAAACGTGAACTCACACTCAAAATCAAAAACAAAAAAATCGCTGCTATACTTTTACTTTAGGGTCCGGTCTTCTGTCACACTCTGCTGTAAACAAATGCACGAAGATGAAGATGAAGGTTTCGAATGTCTTTAATCCAACACACAGGCAATCCATACACAGGGTAACATTGATGAGACCGGGCAAAGGAAACACAAACAGAACTGAACTAACATATACGTGATAACTATAGACACACCTGAACATAATCAAATGAATAACCATGACAACCAATAGGGCAGGAAGGATGAAAACACAGTCCAAACTAACAGAAACCTTGACAGGTAGTAACTGATTACATGTAATCTGGATTACGTGTCCAGATTCCAAAAATTAAGTACTTGTAATAATATTAAATTACATTTTAAAATACTTGTAATCAGACTACAGTTACTTTTTTATTGATTTACATATTATTCACACAATAGCAATAAATTATTCATAATTTATTGATTCTCCCTCATTCTTCTTTTCCATCTTTTAAGTTTTCCTTTCTAAAATAGCCTAACGCTTATATACATTCAGAAAGTCTTTGGTTTTGTAGACATTCACACAAATACCAGTCATTAGTTTATTGAGAGAGGCCACAGCATTTGACCACTGGGTTTACAAAAATCATTTCCGTATTAAGAAGTGTTTTCTGAACATTTCAACATTGCATCAAATACTGATAAACACTAATTAATTTGTATTTGAATTATCACTCAGTGGTTATTTAACCACGTATTACTGTGTCTTTGGAAGGCTTTTGTCTTTCAAACACATAAAAATGCACAAATTCAAGTAATTTCTTATTTACATGTAATGCAAGGATTCCCCAACTTTTTTTTGTCAGCCAAACCTCTTTCACCTAATATATTTACTTAAAGCACCCCTGAGGTTTTAAAATAAATATTTTAATTATTAAGTATCACATTTGCATATTCATGGTTCTCTGACGTTGGTTAATGTTCACATGACCTGCAGGTAAACAAATAAAATATTACATTTTTTAGTAAGTGTTTTATTTTAGTTGTTATTTTAAAATAGTTTATTTTAATTGTACATTTTTATGATGCAATTAATTATTAACTTAACGTTATTAACGTTTCATTAAACTCACGAACCCCCTGCAGTTCCCTCATGAACCCCAGTTTGGGAAACCTTGACGTAATGTAATGTTTAATGCACTTCATGTTGGTAATAACAATGAATAAAATATATTTGCTTTCCCTTTGTATGTTTATATCAATATGATACAAAAGTGTCCTATTTAAAAGCAATCTAAAAGTAATCAAAAAGTAGTCTGATTATATTACCTAAAATGTGTAATGTAATGGATTAGCCTACGTTACTAACTACAATATTTGTCATGTAATTTGGAATCAGTAACAGAATATAATTTTCAAGTAACCTTCCTAGCTCTCTCTCTCTATATATATAGAGATTAAGGGGTAAATACAATAAGAAGAGACAACTAATATAACCAAATTATGTTTATTTTCACCGTTTTCAAATTGTCAGTTAATAAAAATCAGAACCTGGGACAAAGCTCTTTAAATTGAATAAACATATGTTTAAAACGTGTAAAACGAATTAATTTAATTAATGTGTGATTTATTCATTTATTCTTTCATTCATTTTTGTACGATAGGATATATGCGGAACCTTTGCATCTAGCCATTCGTATTTCTACGGCGCACGTAGTGTAACACCAAACACTGATCTGCTGTAATGCTGTGTCTCAGTTAAGGGATGACATTTAGTTACGCAGCTTTCTTTGTTAAACTTAACTGTCAGATTAGTTGCACATATTCACATGGCGCCAGAAGGTGACTGGTGTATAAAATATTTTGATTTATTATCTTGTGATTGATACCAGTAACTGTTTTGCGTCAGTGCTGTGGTTTTGGTTAACGTTAGCGAGCAGGATAACAGAACTTGTTATGCTGCTATTATCTCTCAAATTCGTTTTGTTCAATTATTTTCTTTTTTACCCCTCATGTTATTTGAGATGCAGTTCAACAAATGCACAAGGTGTCTTATACTCATTCAGGTAAATGCTCATGCAGTGCAACCCTTCAGTTGTCCACACCTGTCCAGCTGCAAACTTA